TTCCATCTCCCGTAGCATAGTTTTTTTTCTCATGTATCTAATATATGTATAATCAACTATTAATAAAAGAGATAGAGAATAGACCTCTCTTTAAAAAATAAAAAAAAAATAAAACTATATTAATACAATCCTTAATATACTTCTGATATACAGATTTTGCACTTTGTATGATTTTTGTTTTCACTATATGTATCTTATATATATTTTTTCAACTTATAAGAGCACAATGTACTCTCTTTAAATACATGTTTTGCTTTTTTTTTTGCTATGGTTCCAAGGATGCACTTAGAAAGATTTTGCTATATATATTTTTATATAAAAATTAGATTATATACTATTTTAGAAATAATTTTTTTTAGTTTCTTGGAATCTAGTTTATAAAAACCAAGTCTAATTTTAGAATTTATGCTCATATATATTAAATTTTACCACTTAATTTTTTTATGTATTTGATTGCCTGAATCATATAATAATAATCTCTAAAGTAAATATAGTACATGTGTATATACCTTAATGTTAGTATGAATAGATTAGTCTAATTGGTTTGACTAAAATTCAGAGACTTAATCTTAAACAAACTTGGTATAATTTAGATCCTAGAACTTTTTGCATGAGAACCTAACCTTGAAGTTTGCACAGCTGGATCTAAAAGTCTTAGAACAAATACCAGACCTAGACTAACTTTGTTATTCATATCTATACAAAATCAGAGATGGTGAATACTTGCATTAAGTTTTGATTGGTCATTATAAATAAATAGTCTTTTTATTGGCTCACTAGATTCAATTTTGATACAAAAAATCATAATAAATTATAGTCAATCATATCTCGCCATTTATTACATGATAGCCTTCGGCGAACTACAAATTTATTGTAAAAAATAAATTCTTCCAAATTTTGAATTTTGATTGGTTAAAATTTTTTTTTGTTGATATTGGATAATTGCTATCGACACAGCAATGCGTAATCTAATTTCTCTGCCATATTTTAATACTAACCTTAAGTATATTATCAGCCATGCTGTGCCGATAAATTTAGTGCTGGTCATTAGCTGTGTTGATAAGGCTCCAAAATTTGGGATTTGAGTACATATAGTTAATAAAGTATGTATAGTAGAAATTGAAGTAGTATGTATAGTTCGTAAAGAAATTTTATCTATAAACTATACTAACCCGAACATGAGAAAAAAGGCATATTAGCACTCACTCTAACCTAACTATTAAAAGGGATAGCTTATAAACGATAAATTTAATAAGTTTTGCTAATCACACATACATATTTTCTTAGCTCACATATATAGAAACAATGGTATACATAATTTACATACTGGTATTTACTAGGTTCCGCAGTTTGATTTGATCTATCAAATTCAAATATGATCAAATTTGACAAATATTTGATTTGGTTTGAAAAATTACTATTAAACGTTTATATTCGGAAGCTATTTACTCAAAATTTTATTAAGATAATTAAACTTTTTCGTTCTATTAAACTAGGGGTATTTTGATTAGAAGAACATTTTTACTTAAGAACTCAAGATCGATTAGAGTAGTAAAATTCTTCGTAAATTGGGATTTTTCTTTAGCGATTAATCTTTTAAAAATTTAAAAGATCAAATTCAAATCCAAATTTTTAGATCAAATCAAATTCATATAAGGGTTGATTTGATTTGATCAAATTCAAATTAATCTAATATTTGATTTGAGGAACTCTAGTATTTAAAATTCATATTTCTGTAATACCCCGTGGACGAAAGCCACGTGATTTAAATGTGAACCCTTGTGCGACTAGCTTACAAGTGGCTGCTTAAAAGGTGTCCTACATACATGAACATGAAATTGTTTCGTTATTTAGACAAATCAAGATGCAGATGGAATATGAAATTATAGGAAAAAATGATGAATTTGGAGATGATACTTGTGCAAAAGAATCATCACATTTCGAGCAAGCATCGGATTTTTTTTCTCGGTTAAAAATATTATTAGAAGATGCACATCATATCGAAACGAATAACGAAGATGACATTGAACAGGAGAGAAATTTAACAAATTTGATTGATTTGGTAATTTTAAAATTTATTCTTTTTACAATTCAAGAATCTTTGTAATCGATTCGAAAAAATATTTATACATGATTTTTTTTTATGTTCAAATAAAAGATTAATCCATATCAAGAGCAACCATTTCTTTTAGATCCACATTTAGAGAATATGGTCAAACCCGTTATTGAATTACTTCGAACTTATATAAAAACTATTAATGTACAAGGATCTAAGTTTTCAAAGGATGCGCAAAATAAACCTGATTTTATTCAGATACCTAAAAAAATAAAAAGACTTTTTATATTATTATATTATCTGATGAAAATTCGTGGATATAAAACTATTGGTAAAATACATGTAAAAATTTAATAAATTATTTTTTTCATTACGATAAAGTTTTCTTAGTTAACATAATTCTGATATATAATTAATATATATATATATTTTCGGCTAAAAAAAAAAAAAAAAAATTTATAGTGAAATTCTTCACACATGAAGTATCAGATTTGGAACCAACCTTTTATTTCATGGTTGCCCAAGATCCTAAAGATTATACTGGTTGGGAAACAAGATACGTATTGTTAATATGGTTATCATTAATTTGTATGATTCCATTCGATCTAAAGACAGTTGACAGTCTAGCTGCTGCTGAAGAAGATAAGGTGAATCGTGGTTCCGTCATTCTCTTTCTCTCCTTTCTCTCTCTCTCCCTATAAATATATATCGGAAATTAATATAACTTATCATTATTTCATAGTTTCCTCTTGTGGATCATATGATTGAGTTGTCAAAGTTTTATTTAAAGGTTACTGGTAAAGAAAGAGATGGTGCGGCGGTGTTCTTGTCTCGTTTACTAACAAGGTTGAAATAATTGTAATGATTCTACGATTAAACATATCACTTTCATTGTATTAATTTTATTTCATGATCTTAGACGAGATATTGCCGAATTATATCTTGCAAATTATATTAAATGGGCACAAGATGAAGTTAGAAATGAAAAGGATGTGTTTACGGTAAAATTATCACTTGATTAGTTCATAATTGATGTTAATTTACTTGAAAAATTATTCATGTTTTGGCTTATTGATTAGATCACTGGTATTCTCACGTCCCTTTGTGCCATTTATAAACTTGGTCAAAGGCAAACATTATTACCAACATTAGAATCTGTATTGCCTTGCCTTAACTTACTTGAAGGAAATCAATTATTTGTGAATAATACACTTATTAGAAAATTATTAGTTAAATTGGCTCAAAGGATTGGTTTATGTTATTTAAAACCAAAAGTGGCTTCTTGGAGATATCAAAGGGGTATATTTTAATGTTTTAAATGGTTTTGATTTATTATTCACAAAATACAAAAAAATAAAAATAAAAAGACGTTTAAAATGTAATATAGGTAGCAGATCACTTAAGGATAATTTGGATGCACTATCAAAAACAACAACTATTGATCCTTCAAATGTGCACCAATCTTTGGAAGATGAAAATGATGAAGATGAAGAAGTACCTGAACAGCTCGAAGAGATCATAGACATTTTATTGAACGGTCTGCGTAGTAAGGTGACCTTTTACAAAACGTTGGATATCAGTACTCTTAAGAAATCTTTTTAAATATTCTTACTTTCTGTTTATGATAGGATACAGTCGTGCGTTGGTCTGCTGCTAAAGGCATAGGGCGAATCGCACAACGGTTACCACGGGAACTTGCTGATGACGTGATTGGCTCTTTATTTGAATTGTTCTCCGAAAATACATATAAAAATAATGATGGTGTATTAGAGTTGTCTGCAGTATCTGACCATACCTGGCATGGTGTATGCTTAGCTATAGCTGAATTAGCAAGAAGGGGATTATTATTACCAGAGAGACTATCTGAGGTCATTCCCTGGGTTACCAAGGTAAGTTACTCACTCTATTTTAATTTCTTATTTGAATAATACATAAATGAACCTTCTTTTATTTTATAATTATTAGGCATTAAAATTTGACCAGAAACGTGGTTCTCATTCGATTGGTGCTCATGTACGGGATGCCGCCTGTTATGTTTGCTGGTCTTTTGCTCGTGCCTATGCTCCCGAAATTATTGCACCATATGTAGTAGAGTTGTCGAATAATCTCGTTGTGGTATCTGTATTTGATCGTGAAGTGAACGTTAGACGTGCTAGTAGTGCCGCTTTTCAAGAGAATGTCGGTCGTCAGGTTAGTTCTCAAATAGAGTTTTGAATCAGTTTATTCATACGATAAATCCGAATTTACAACTAAGTCTGCTGAGCAAAAACCTGCAAATATAAAATACCTTGTCGAGCTTCGAAAAATTGTGATATTACGTAATTTAATGGTGTATGATCAAGTACGTACGTGCGTGACAAAATAACAAATGAGGACTGGTCTAAGAAAATGTCAGTTTGGGAATTTAAGAATCCTCAGATAGATCATCAAAATGATTAATACTCCAATTATTAATCGGAGAATTTTCAAATTCTCAGACTGGCATTTTTCTCAAAACGATTAGAACACAGATTCAATTATATATCACAATTTTTTGAATTTTAAAATAATGCTTACAGAATATGAAAAACGAAATTGGTTTCAAACTAGTATTTATGTTTTATCATTGTTATTTAGGGTATTTTCCCACATGGCCTAGAAATTATTACCACAGCTGATTATTTTACCGTCGGTAACAGGATTAATGCTTTTCTTGATATAAGTGTGAAAATTGCAGAGTTAGCATATATTTTTTTTTATGTATAATGAGTTTATATTTTTATAAAACTTTTTGTTCATAACCTAAATATTTTTATGGATTCAGGTTTGTAGAATATAGATATCATCTGATTGATCACCTAAGTAAACAAACAATATCTAATTGGGACAAAAGCATGAGGGTACTTGGAGCTAAAGCTTTACATAATCTTGTACCTCTTGACCCTGACTATTTCATCAATAAGGTTTTACCATTCTTGGTGAGTTTGTGAACTTTAATATTAACTATCTATTTAGGTTTCATCATCTCAACAATATCTAATTTTCAGATCCCTCAAGCTTTATCCCCTGACATGCATACAAGACATGGTGTTTTATTAGCAATAGGCGAAATATGTTTAGCTTGGTCAAATTTACAAAAAGATGATAAAAGCTGGATTGATCGACATAAAGATTTAATTATGGTATTCTATAAACCGATTTGCTTTAAAAATTTTAGTATTTAGCTCAATATTTAATTTATCATTTAATTTAATATTTAAATATTTAAAACTATTATTACTCAAGAACGTAGCCAATATAGTCGGATCTCTTCCTGAGAATGTATTTACAGATTTCGGGTCAGAAGTTACAGCTCAAGCGGCAGTAAGTCATATCGCTAGCTTAGCTAAAGCTAGATGGCCTGTAACTGATGAAGTTTTGAAAAAATGGAAAAGTGTAGTTTACGATCTTCTTAGCAGAAAAGATGAAATTGGACAAGAAATTGCTGCACATGCTGTTGAAGCTCTTGTGGCTCAACATGGAATTGATGAATCAGAAATAAATATATATCCTTCCACTAAAAAGGTTATTTATTGTGTTATTAAAGTTTAGTGGCCACTAATATAAATTCGTACATATATCTTTGACTATCTTTGCACGTATATCGATCACTGTCATCCTTCAAAAAATGTTCATGCAAGAAAAGGCTTTACTCTTGCTCTGGGTGTTATAGAATATTATAAAATTCCAGAATGTTTGGATCGTGCGATTGATTCACTAATTTTATCTTCAAAGATACAGGTTTCTTATAATTATTCATTTTATTATAAATTTTGGTTTTATAAATATTATTCACTATTTTTTTTTGTAGGAAACTAAAGTATGGAATGATCCAGAAACTCGAAGAAATGCGATGATTTCATTAGCAAAGATATCTAAAAAATTGGGTGACTCACTCAAAACAGGTATTATTATTATTATTATTATTATTGGCAAAATGCCTTAATTTTTTTTTGATTTAATTATTCTAATCAAGTCTTAAATTATGACAGTGGTTCCTAAACCAACTTTTGATAAAATTATCAATGCTTATTTCATGGGCCT